CGGACGGACAGACAGACATACAGACAGATAGATAGACAGACAGACAGACAGATAGATGAATAGATTAGATGGACAGAAAGCATGCAGAGAAAGAAAGAGAGGGGGATGGATCGATGGATAGTTGGATGGACTTACGAACAGACAGATGGATGGACAGACTGACAGGCAGACGGATGGTGAATAAATGTGAGAATTCAATTATAAATAGTTTTACGGTTAATCAATAGAGGTGGATGTGTTATTGAGATTTCCATGAACTGAATTGAAGAACAGGGGAAGGTTGATGAAATGTGTGACTGTTAAACTCATAAACCATTTAAAAAAAAAAATCATAATTTTTCCATTTGAACCTATATGACCAAATATCTATATGTTTGGCTGCAAAACTACAGAATCTGGATTAAGATTTGTATAAATTATAACTTATTAGCTTTTTTAAATGGAACCAAAAGGGAAATCTTTATATATTGTAGATGTAAATATATATATATATATAATTGTAGCAGGATTATAATTTCAAATTGTCATGATTGATCAAGGAAATTAATATATCACTAGATGACAATTAACATACTTAAATATAATCTTGAATAGAACTTGAAAATGTGGAAAAATGACTTTTTTATGTATAGGGTAGATAAAAATGAAAAATAGGTAAACCAATCGCTTAGAAAAGATATAGAAATATAAACAGTGTTATTCTGTTTTCCTGCTGTCAATAATATGCTTCTGACTTCTGGGAACAAAAAATGGTCACAAATGTGTCATGATCACCATGGCATGAACAGTCATGTGGAGAAATAGGGAGAAGCAAAGAAATAGAAACTCGTATTACTTGCTAATTACTTGATGCTTTGGAGGCTAATGAAGTTCCAAAATAATGGGGCAGTAGATTCTGAACCTGCCCAATTAAACCACATGTACTCAACTCCTGACCCAATAGGATGTCATGCTCTATTGAACAGCAGAAACCTATAGATACAGGTATTTGTAAGACAACAATCACTTTAAAGTAGTCTGACTCCCTCCCCCCATACTATAACCCCTGATGCAGTAACCAGACAGTCTCCAAACGCACTTCCTAGTGAATAAGTCTCAAAGTCTTTGCATTTGTCCTCATCACAAACAGTATGATGGTGCCAAACACTTCAAACCTAAAGTATTGGATTCAATGTTTCTCTAAGAGAAACATCCAACTAATTGAGAGTGGCGACTGCCACGCTATCCAGTATGGTTCCAATGATTCTCTATAAATAGTATGCGGCGTGATGATCTGCCATGATTGCACAGGATGATTGCACAGATCATGGAAGCTTGACTGCTGCACCAAGATTTGAATGTTTTTTTTTTTAACCTTTTTATAATGGAGTAATATGCTAACATTTTAAATAAAAATATATTTATAATGTTATAGTGTCCCTTTAATAGTCTTGTAATGGTGGTATCTCTGGTATGAGTTCTAAATTCAAACTTGAAAATACTGCGTACCTTATGATAACTCTAAGCTTTTCATCATACCAAAGTTCGATTCATACCAATGAGTTTGATAATAAAAGCTGCTGTACCCCAGGGCATACTAAAAAAACTAGCAAAAGCAGGATGTATCCTGCCCTGTTTAAATATATTGGTATTATCATAATTTAATATTATCATAGTGAGATGAACATTGCAATAACGATGCATCTTCCAGTGAATGTAAATGCCTGGTCTTTATCACCAAGGGAGGCTACCTGACATGCCGCATTTTGAAAATAAGTGATAGTTCCATTTTAATTAATTCCCTTTCAGATACATTTGAGTAAAAAAAAGAAAAGGAACCTTTTAGAACATTCATAGGCGAGCTATAAAGTCTGCTCAAGGCAATATTTAACACAATCTGACAAATTAAAACTCTGAGAACCGCCATCGTGAAATCCATTCGGTGGGCAGACTGCCAGGAAAATGTTGCCAACACTGCACTAGGGAAATTTGTAGTGTCTGCAAAAAGAGCAAATTCCATTAGCAAAACCATCTAAAATTCACTTTCATTAAATTACGACATACAACCAATGTTATGAGGGAAATTCAGAAGAATGTATTAATCCAATGCCCAGTTTGTACTTGTCCACTGAACAGATGCCTTTGTGAAGTTAAGATTATATAGTATGTCTATCTATCTATCTATCTATATATCTATCTATCTCTTCCCTCTTAAATTCCCTCCACTGTACACCACCTCCTTCCCAACCCTACCAGGCACAGAGTGCGCTGGTTGGGAAATTATTTGAAGGTCTGTTCAGGAACAATATTAAAGAACTCATCTTGAGCAAAAATATCATTAGTAGGACATGGTTTACTAAAAGATAGCTCATGTCAAGTTAACGTAATTGCATTCTATAAAATATAGATCAGCATGTTCCAGTGAATGTGATATACATGAATTTTGATAGTTCATTTTATGCAGTCTCACATGAAAGGTTACTATTAAAGTTGAAATTATTTGGTCTACATGACAAATCTTGCTCTTGGATAGAACACTGGCTTAAAGATAGAGAGTGCAGAGATTAGTTTTTACAAGGGCAATTTTCAAATTGGACAAAAGTGGAAAGTGGAGTGCATCAGTGCTCTGTCCCAAGTCCACTTCTCATTAACCTCTTTATAAAGTAATCTTTGAAGTGGCATTGAAACACGTGTGTCTGTGTTTGCAGATGACCCAAAACCCGGGAAGAAAATACAGTGTGAACATGATAGTAATTCTCTACAGAAGGATTTGGATAAATTAGGGCACTAAGCAGGCTAATTAAATTTAATGCAGATTCAGTACAGAACATTGCCCAGAGCATAACATTGCCTCTGCTGGCATGCCCAATTTTTGCATTGTGTCAGGGTGCATTGCCCTGCTGAAAGAAGTCTCTGCCATCAGGGAACACCATTGCCATGAAGGGGGGTATATGATCTGTAACAATCTCAGGTAGGTGGTACGTATCAGAGTAACATCTACATGAATGCCAGGATCCAATGTTTACAAGCAGAACATTACCCAGAGTATAACACTGCCTCCGCAAGCCTACCTTCTTCCCATAGTGCATCCTGTCCGTCACGCTTCAAGCTATTAGAAAAGCGGGACATTATAAATTAAAAGAGAAAATGATGAATTAGGGTTGAAAATAGAGGAATACCCCTTTTATGAAGTTACCACTAAGTGTCAATCAAAAAGTTTGTTTATGATACTTACAAGAGAATCTCCCTCTTGATTCCCCATATAATTATGATGTAAATATTATAATGTGTGTGTCCCAATAAGTTAAATGTAATAAATGTTACTCCTGTGTAGAATTAAAAAGCTGAATAGTAGTTCTATTAGGAACTGTGTTTTGCCTAATTCATCTATCTAGCGATTCAGCGAACTGTGCATTAGGACTTGCTTTCAAGCTGTATTTTTGCTTGGTTGTTGGTATTGGCTACAAGGTTTGAGGACCTATAGCTAAAGAGCTGGACTGAGAGCAAAAAGCATCTTTGTAAAGATAGTGTTGTGAGCCAGCAGAGCGGTTAATACCTTCCTAGTAGGAGAACAGACAGAGGGTTCAATTCCTGCCTGGAAGCTGTTGATGGCCCATGGTAACAGAGGAGAAGGGACAGACCCCATAGCAGGACATTAGCATATACACCAATATCTACAAACAAAAAACTTATAATAGTCTAATAATACTGTATATCAAATAAATGGAATAATTTAATATTCACCTTCAAACATATAATTGATGGAAGACCTTAAATCATAAATGTGGGTACTCTTCTCTCTTTGCGATTCTCCAGTCAACAAACCATATATGAAGAGAGGCAAAAAAGACACATAAAGTAGATTATTTTAAAATGTAACATGCCTTCAACATGGATGCTGTCCAGGAAGTAGGAGGGTCTGGGAGGGAGGGTCTGCCGGAGATTGGCAGGGATGTGTCAGCTGACCGGATTTCGGCAAGTTCGCGAACGGTTCGCGACATCACTAGTGGTGGGCAGCAAATGCATACACCAAGAAATAAAATGAATAAATAAAAGTATAAAATAAAAAGACCCTACATGTTTCCTCCTTTGAGAAGGACTTCGCCAACAGTCAAAATCAAAAGTCACAATCCATGCATGGCTCCAAGTGTTCAGACTTAATTTAAATCACCTGGTTCTTGCCACCCTCTGTGTTCCATCAGCCAATCCCAGTGGCAGCCATGCCTCCCATTACCTGTTTCCTACGACATGTACCAGACCTTGGTTGGATGTTCCGTTTCCGGTTTCCTCTTTTTTTCTTCTTCAGGCTTTAGTGAGTTTAATAAAAGCAACAAGCATTAGAATTAGAAAATCATAATTATGTCTGAGATTAACTATCAGTCTGGTGTAGCTCTCACCAATGGGCAGGCACACAACTAACAGGCTTGTCTGAGGAAAGTCAAGATTTATGATAGAAACAAATGTCCAAATAAAATTCACTCATCAATCAGAAGCACCTTGGATCTCATTGAAAATGTCAATTTTAACAGTAACATACTTTACATGGCAAACAGACTACTAATACCCTTATATTGGCATATTGAAAATTAATAAATATTTGAGTATTTAACCATATAAATACTCAACAGAAATGATTCTCTGAATATGGTACCAATTAGCTGTTAGAATGTGCAAACAACAATATGTACCAATACAAATAGATAAAATATGATATTTAAATTAATTGTCTTATTATTGTTTTATTGTCATCCCACACATAACAGGAAGAATTGTTGTTTTTCTATGTTTTTTTTGTTTGTTTGTTTTTTAAAGTTTCCTTTTTTCCAATACCGTTTCCGGTTTCCTTTATCTTTAGAACAATTCTTTTTCGCATGAAGTGTGCGTTCCAAACACGTGTCATCAGTCTTTCCTAAACTTGCATTCCACTCAGTTAGTATATATTCGATGTGACAGTATTCCAACAATTTTGTAATAAAAAATAGGAAAGAAAACACATAAATGACTCAATTATGTGGCCAAAGATGGCCACCATGCCTGATCCAGACGCGGGCTCCACATGCTCGGAGCAAGCCCTGGGGGATACCTCAGACTCACAGTCACACCTGGGGGCACAGATGGACCCCGATGCACTGACACCGGCTACCAAGTTGGATATTAGGAACCTCTTGTTAGAACTGAAACAGATATTTGCTGCAGACATGGGACAGAGGTCCAAGCAGTGACCGACCGCGTGAAAACCTCAGAAGAGGACATAATAGACATACAACAAGAAGTGAGAGGCCTTAAAGAAACAGTGCTGCAATGCCAGTCCTCCCACTCAGCCCTGCTTGATAAGCTGGAGGCTACAGAGGACAGAAGCCGCAGAATAAATGTAAAGATCGAGGCATCCCTGATGAAATAGGCCAGTCAGACCTGCCACACTACCTCAGACGCCTCTTTGCTACCTTACTACCACATACGCAAGCGAAAAAGCTTGCTTTCGTAGAAATCTTTTGCATCACCAAACTGAGACAGGCACCTCTCCTGGCATCCAGAGATGTGATCATCCGGTGCCAAACCCTAACAGACAGAAATAAAATCTTCACAGCTGTGAAAGGCAAAACGCCGCTTGACTTCAAGTCAGCCAATCTCACCTTCTACCAGGACCTAACCAGGACCACCCTCCAATGGAGGAGAACTCTGGGCCCAGTGATCCGCCGACTACAAGAAGCCAAAATGACCTACCATTGGACACTGCCTAAAATCCTAATGGTCGAGCACAACGGCACCACTCTGAAACTCTCCTCTATAAAGGAGGTGGACTCCTTCCTTCAAGCTTTCGGGCTCCCAATGAGAACTGGTCCCCCTGGCACACTTACCACTTCTCACGTATGGGACCCTCTGTACCTCGAAGGAGAGGCACCCCAATAGCAACCACTTGACTCAAACTTACCAAAAGAGTGCATAGGCACAGATGTTTTTCTTTTTTTTTTGGTTCATATGTAAGAAGTTTTTAGTATCTTACATTTATATTAGGTGCCCCACACCTTAGGCTTGATACCACCACAATAGGGCTACTACGGTGACTGTCACCATCTATATCCCCCCCGTGATCCCCTTGGTTAGGGGTCGTAGACCACACTCATATCGCACACGCAAATACCTGGCTCATAGGGCAAGTAATTGATCTAACCCCTATGGCCAAGCCAGAGATACAACTGGATAATATGTTGTGACAGACCCTCCGCCGACGGATGCTCCTAGTGCTCAACAAAGACCATCAGCACCGCACCAGACACCATAATCACTGCAGACCCAATGAACCGCCGCAGCTTGGTTGGGGTCTCTCCGTCTTCTTCCCACCCTGGACCTGCGACAAGGCTCCAGGTTATGGAAGTCATATTTTTTCCCAGGCGAACACAGGATTTAATGCCCAAAACAGTTCCATAGATTTGCGGCTAAGTTCCGCTGGAGGACTGACCAGGAACTGTGAGGTTTTCATGATGAAAATAGTTCCTGGGCATTCGCGGCCAGTTCCTCCTAAGGTCTATTCGCGGTTTTGGTCCATGCCACCACGTGTTGAATGTCGAATGGCGGCCACTTTGACAGTTCGGGAGTTCGAAGAACCATTGTTTAAAGTCTCAATAGCCACAAATAGGGTCTCTCAGCCAAAACAAATTAAAGGGGCCATAGTCACAGGGCAAAAGGCTGGCAAGTAGTCCTCTCCAAAACCAAGTGGCGAAGTGGCTTTCGTCACATTTGTAATATGTAGTATATTATCTCCTTACTGTCCCTTCCACTAATGCACACACACGCGTTGCAATCACTAGCAGCCTATGTTTTGTTCGATTTTCTTTTGTTTTCTTTTCTATTGCTCCTAGTGAAGGATACCCTCACTCTTTTGAATCACATCCCAGTGGACTCACTCACACGTTATCGCAATTGACTACCTGCTTAAGATACGTGATTTGCTCGGACACCATTGCGTCTAACTTACCCATGACATACCTTAATACTTCTGGTTCACTGCTATAATATGTAGTCATTAGATTCAAGCCTGTTTATTTACATTAACAAAAAATGTGCAATGTTTTTTTTCGATGCCACACTACTGTTATAATATGTCTAACGATCAGTTTGCACCAGCTGTTGTGGTGGTGTAAACCAGCTTGTTTAACCTATGCATAAAATAAAGAATTAAAAAAAAAAAGTTATAGAAAACAAATAATGTCAAAATCGACATTTAAACTACTTCGTTGTAAGACCTGCAGCCTTTGGATCTCCAGTCTGGCTGCTAGTAAAAGAAAAACATCTTTCTAGGAAGACTTTGCCACCATCGATTTCTTAAAATAATTTTTATATTTAAAAGTACGGGGTGCCAAAAATGTTTTTACATTTTTGCTTTTCTTAACTGTAATACTAGGCTCAAGGGGCAACTCCTCCAAAAGTAAAGGTCAATATATTTTTTTTCAATCCTTTTAATGTTAAAAGCCTGTTGCGTCAAATTGTGTGTTAAATGAGTACTCAAATTAATTTCTTAAAACATTTCCTTTTAACTTATATTTTTGATGCGTACAATGTCTTTACTTAAAAAAAACTTTCATAATACCCTTTTTTTTTCAAAATTTACCTTTTAAAAACTGTGTCTGTTAAAAATCTTTCATTTCACTATACTTGCTACGTATACGGGTGAATTGACTTTTAGAAACACCTTGCACTTTGGATGGAGGCCACATTTAATGTCATTGAAGCTATTAGCATCGGTCGGTTTAAAGAATGTTTTTGACTTCATAATATTCAGGTCTGCATAAATAGTTAGATCTAAAAAAAATATTTCTGTAGTATCTAATCAGGTGTAAAAACCAACGGCATATTGTTACGATTAAATGTGTCCATAGTACCCATAGCAGGACAGGTCTGGGTCCCAAGCCAGCGACCAGTCACCCTCTGTTACTGTTACAACATTGTTCCATTAAATATAGTTACTTCACCAGATGCTTTAATAACTTTGTCTCTTGTTTCTTTTTTTTTTTCTTTTTTTTTGCAGTATCATTGCGTATATCGTAAAACATGTTTGAGTGAATTTACACATCAGTATATGTGCGCGCTGAACATCTCATCACAATTTTACACTTCTATTAAATGTGTTTATTCATTGATTTTTAGGCATTTAAGATGGTTTACAGTGTTATCATTTTGCATGCTTAAGGAACCATTTTAACAGTTGATGTAATTTGCTACACACGTTTTTTTGTTTTTTTATACAGCTTCAGTTTAGATAATTGCATAGTAACCGCAGGTTTTTGCCACTTTAGCAGATGCTTGTTTCTTACAAATCAGAGGGAGTAAATATCATCTTCTGGGAGGCAGAACCGCCAGATATTGTTAAAAATTCCCATGAATAATTTACAATAAACTTCAAGTTAACCCCTTAATGACACAACTTCTGGAATAAAACGGAATCATGACGGAATATTTCCGTCATGTGTCCTTAAGGGGTTAAAACTGTAGAGTGCAAAAAATAACTACCACTGGTATGAAAACTCACACAAGCTCCTAACTCACCCTGCTGTTTCTTGCTCAACGGGTAGCCCTAATGAATTCTATGACATCCCTATTCACAAAACTTAACAAAAACTGATGAATAATATAACGTGTTTATCTTTATTGGCCAAGGTTAAAACTGTTGTCTCGGAGGTTCGCTGTGATAATTTCACTACAGGTGAAATGTATAATATCTGCACAACTAAATTAAAGTTTTTTTCATCTTGGCAAATAATTTTTGCTTGCTGCAGCTTCCGACATTCCAGCTTCACAGAATTACCCATAGGCAGTAAGAGATGTAATTCTTCATGTTTCCTAATCAATATGCCAAGAATTCTCTCAGCAGCATCATTTTCTTTTTAAATTTATATAGTTTTATGATTTATATCTATGAGTAGAGTATGAAGGCTGTGTTAAGGTAAGGTTTATGCATTTTAACAGGGCCTACTGCATGTAGTGAATTTAAGTGCTAACTCTTTTTTTTTCCAGTCCCTGGTGCCAAATGGTTATTGTTCCCAAACACAAATCGAAAAAAGTTAATATTTACGTTCCGAGTCTTTTTAGACAAGTCGGTAACTCTTATCTACCATTGTTTGGTGTTTACATCATTTGATATATTAGCGTGTTTCTTCTTTAAAAGAGAATTGTTAGATATTTAACTGTATGTTTACTTAGCACTAATGTTTAGCACACACGTGTTTTTGAGATTTAAAAAATATAAAATCAAACGTAGAAATGCAGATACCTATCCGAGATCTGGGCACCTCCATCTTGGTTCCCTTAATCAATCATTTAATTTCTGTGGAAGTGACAGTCGTGCTTTAAAACCCCTTAAGGACACATGACGGAAATATTCCATCATGATTACTTTTTATTTCTGAAGTTGTGTCCTTAAGGGGTTAAACGTTTTTGCAGACAATTGCTACTTGTGTGTTTGTTCATGCGTTTGCAAGCAATGCAGATGTGATCTTCTAAAGAGGTTTTAACTTAGTGGTTCTGGGTCACAAACCATCAATGAGTCCTTATGCAGCTGAGTGCATCCCCACTAGTAAAACAGACATCACATTTATCCCAACCAACTGCCCTAAATTGTGATAGCAACAGAGATCAATTTGATACTAGACCAGGGACGTCTTTGCCGCGAGGCAAACAAGGCATTTGCCTTGGGCGGCACTTTCCAGGGGGCGGCAAAAAATGCCGCCCCCAAATGCCCAGGCAAATACCTTGTTAGCCTGGTAGCTAACTAAAAATTCAGGCAGGAGGGCGGCACTGGTGAGGGAGCACTGATTAGTGAGCTCTCCGCTCTCACGCGCGGCAGGGAGCTGTCATCATATTCTGGCTCCCAGCATCACTCTGCGGCACGTGAGGGAGCTGAGCAGAGACAGTTCACAATCAGTGCTCCCTCGCCGGCGTCGCGTGCCTGGATTACAATTAGCCACCCAAGTGCCTGCATGTCTACCTCCCTTCCTGCAAGAAGACCCACTGGACTGGGTTAAAAAAAATCTACCCAACTCTTCCAAAGGTAGGGAGGCTGGGTGGATTTAAACTAAAATAGAAAAAGCAATCTTTATTAATTAATGTTTGGGGGAGGGGTGCTGTCTGGCTGTCAGTGTGTGTATGTCTGTCAGTGTGTGTCTGGCTGTCAGTGTGTGTATGTCTGTCAGTGTGTGTGTGAGTGATTGTGTGTGTATGTCTGTCA